ATCCTTGCCTTGCTCCCTGTGTCAGGAGGAAAGTGTATCACATTTCACTATTAAGTATGATGTCTGCTTAGGGTTTGAGGGTTTTTTGTTTTGTTTTAGTTTTTTTTAGGTAATGGAGTTTCTATTCCTAGTTTGCTAAGAGTGGTGTTTTTAATTATGATTGGGTCTCGGGTTTTATCAAATGCTTTTCTACAGTCTGTTGTGTCAATTCTGTTTTTTCTTTCTTATTCTGCTGATGTGGTGAGTTGCATTGCTTGGTCCTTAGAGGGTAAACTGAACCTGCACAAGTGGATTAGACCACACTGGGTCATGTGTCTGGGCACAGTGCTATATGCAGCTTGCTGGTGTGGTGAAGATATTTGCACACATGCTCACAAGAGAGATTAACCTGTGATTTTTTTTCTTTCTTGAAATATCCTTGTCAGATTTTGATATCAAGGTTATGCCACCTTTTATGAAAAGATTTGTGTAAAATTGACATTATCTCTTCCTTAAATATTTGGAAGAATTCACTGGTGATGTCATCTAAGTACAGAGTTTTCTTTGCCAGAAGATCATTAAAATTGCAAATCTAACTTATTTAATTAATATTGAGCAATTTGTATAGTTGCCTTTGTGTCCACTTTTACACATTGTGTTTTTAAAAGAATTTGTATATTTTATCTAAGCCATCAAAAGTATTTTTGTTTGTAACGTCCTCTGAATAAATGTTTCAGCAGCTCTAGCTCCGTCTTTAACTCCTGAGGGCGGTCGTCATTTGCCTCCCCTCCCCCACCTGATCAGTCTTCCCAAAAGTACATCTGTTTTATTAGTCTCTTCTGAGAATTAAGTTTTGGCTTTGTTGATTTTCCTTTAATAATGTTCATTTTTTATCTCATTGACTGTGCTCTTTATCTCTTTCCTCCTACTTTCTCTGGGTGTAATTTGCCATTTTTTTAACTGCTTGAAATGGATTTCAGCCTTTTTTCTGCTCTGAGATGTCCATTTAAAGCCGCAGGGTTCACTCTCTTCACTTATTTCACTGTCCTTTCAGTACTTATTTAACTATGAGTTTTAATATGTTACATTTTTATTACCATTTAATTTAAACTGTTGTTTGATTCTCATTATATTTTTTTCTTTGACCCCTGGGTTATTTAGATTGTTTAATTTCCAAAATATATGGAGATTCCCTAGCTATCTCTTTTAATGGATTTCTAGTTTAATCGTGCTGTAGTCAGACAGTATAATAAACATGATTTGTTTTCTTTGAAATGTGTCGGAACTTGCTTCTGAAGTCTTGCATATGGTCTCTTTTGGTGCATGTTCTGTGTGCACTAGGGAAGTTTATGTAGTCTTCAGTAGCAGGGGGTAGTGTTCTGTATTTGTCAAGTTGCTAATCAGGCTGTTCAAATTTGTCTCTGACTTAACAAAACTTTGACTGCTTTTCTATCAGTTGCTGATGAGGTGTGTTCAAATCTACCACCCTGGTTGTGGATTTTCTCTTTTATCTTTCAGTTCTGCCAGTTTGCTTTATATATTTTAAGGTTGTGTTTTTAGGTGCATACAAATTTAGAATTGATCTCGTCCTGCTGAATTGACACTTTTATAATTATGACATATTCTTCTTTCTCTCTAGGAATATTTAAAGTCTGTTCTAATATTGGTTTTCCTTTGCCAGTTTTCATTTGGTTATGCAATGACCAATCTTTTTCTGTCCTTTCCCATCTTTTTTTTTTTTTGCATCTTTATATTTTAAAGTGGAGGTATATAGTTGTTTTTAATCCTGACAATCTTGATCTTTTAATTGAAATATTAATCTATTTATAATGCATGCAGTCTACCATCTTCTGTTTCTTTTTCATTTGTTTCATCGCCTCCTTTAAGTCTATTTGCTTTTCAAGCTCCAAGCTGGGTATTTTCTTCTGGTTCACAGCTATTCTTTTCTACTCTATCACCTTGCTATCCAACTCACCTATTGCATTCTTCATTTTCAGTATGGTTCTTACTTTTCTGGAATTATATATATATAATTCCAGAATATATACATATATATATATAATGTGAATAAATATATATTATATATATTATTACATGTTATATATATTCACATTATAGATACAATTATATATAATATATATAATTCCAGAATGTATATGTGAATAAATATATATTATATATTATTATACATTATATATATTCACATTATAGATATAATTATATATAATTATATATATAATTCCAGAATGTGTATATATAATGTGAATAAATATATATATCTATAATGTGAAATTTATATATAAATTTTATTTCTCTGATAAAATGTTCTATCTTTTCATCTGTTTCTTTGAACCTGTTTATCACAGTTATTTTGAAGTCTTCATCTAAATATCCTGAAGCAAAGCACAATCATTTGTTGGCTCACAAGACTATGGGTCACCCATCTGGGCTGCCTAGTCAGGTGGTCTCACTTGGATTCGTCTACATGGCAGCGCTTGGATGGTGGTGAGGGGGCAGCTGAGCAGTCTCCGTTGTCCTCACATGTCTGGAACCATCGGGCTGTCAGTTAGTGTCTCTCAGCTCTCCTTCACATGGCTCTTCCAGCAGGCTAGCTCAGACGTGTCCATGAGGGAGCAGAATTCTAAAAAGGTGAGAGTAGACACAAGATCCTTGAGGCTGAGCCTCAGAAGACATGATCATTTCCACCATGGTGGAGACAGATTCCAGCCTGCAATGGGAGGAACTACAATGAATTCGCGCCCATCTTGAATTCATCAGCCTGCCCTCTGGCCATAACTTTCACATTCTACCCATTGCAAAATTCACTCACCGCCCTTCCCGCAGGACATCTAAAATTCTCTCGCAACTACAAATGGCATCATGCTCAAAGTCCAGCATCTTGTGATCTGCCTCTTCTGGCCTCTGTTCAGTGCCTGGTCCCAAAATTAATGCCATGTTTTAGGATATTGATATGACACTACCCTATTTCTTAGTCCTTATTTCTGTATCAGTTACCTATTGTTGCATAGCAAACCAGACCTAAATTTAGTGGCTTAAAATATTTTCTTTGGGCTGGGCACAGAGGTTCACGCCTGTAATCCCAGTTCTTTGGGAGGCCAAGGCAGGCAGATCATGAGGTCAAGAGATAGAGACCATCCTGGCCAACATGGTGAAGCCCTGTCTCTACTAAAAATTTGAAAATTAGCCAGGTGTGGTGGTGCGAGGCTGTAGTCCCAGCTACTTGGGAGGCTGAGCAGGAGAATCGCTTGAACCCAAGAGGCAGAGGTTGCAGTAAGCTGAGATCTTGCCACTGTATTCCAACCTGGTGACAGAGCGAGACTCCTTCTCAAATACACACACACACACACACACACACACACACACATATATATTTTTTTCTGTTGCTGCTGGCTGTTGGCTGGGGCATCTCTGTTCTCCATGTGGCCTCTCTAGCCAGCAAGCTTGTTTGCAAGGCCACATTCCAAAAGCACATTAATTATACACTGTGTAAGTTCCCCAGCACTCTCATCACATAAAGTCACAAGGTCAGCCCAAGTTCAATTAATAGGAAAACAGACTCCATCTCTTAATGGACTGTTGCAAGTACCACACCTTTAGATCTGTTTGTGTGGTCTGTGTTTTCCCTTGGCTTTTAGTCTTTTGTGTATAAAAAATTGTAGAATCTCAAGGATATTATCTCCCTACAGATAATTTAATTTTCTTCTGGTATGCACAAAGCACCTTACTCCGGTAAGGGATTGAGACAATGTGGGGTTAGTGCAATGCTAAGCTGGCACTGCTTAGTTTTTAGGGCTGCCTCCTAGATAGCTTCTAAACCCCAAAGCTTCTCTTCCCAGTGCCATGAGTCTACTGAGTACTCTCCTTAGCTTTTACCCCCTTGGCAACTGCTTTTTGCTCAGTTTCTGTGAAGCTCACCGACCTGTGTGGCTTAGGAATTCACAAGTGTTTCCAGAGGAAGTTGTGCAAAAGGTCTATCACTACTCTCTGGTCCCCTGCTGACCAGAATCTTGTTCCCTCATGTCCTGGGTGTCCTGTGGCCCTGGACTTCATGCTTTTCTCACCAGTCCACTAGCCCTGTTCGGAGTTCATGCCTGTCCACAAATGGATAAGTGCACTGACAAGGAAATGCTCAGAGGCTTAGCTCAGCTCACTTCCTTTCTACGTGGGATCTTCACCTTTCATGGCTTTCCTGGTCTCCAGAGCCTCACACAGCTGTTCCTCACTGTTGGCATCACTTAGTCTCAGTCCCTGGCGTTTCCATGGAGGGCCAGGCAGGCGTGAGCTCCAGGAGGAAGTCTCCTGCTGCTTCCATGGTGCTGGGTTTTCTTCCAGTCTTTTTTCTATGCGCACACATCATCTCCCTTGTTTTCTTCAGTGATGGTGTTTCTAAAAGGATCTTTATTTCTAGAAAAAACTTTAGGAGGCAAAACAATGCAGCCCCCTTAACAGAGCGGCTTGGGGGGTAACTTTCCCTTGTTAATTTGTCCTGCACCCCTACTTTCCCATGTGCTTGCTGTTTGTGGGGCCACACAGCACACAGCAGCTGGAAGGGGCTGTGGGCATCACCGGCATACACCCTCTTCTTCTTTCTTTTCAGAGTCACTATAATAGGTACGCGTAAGCAGCACGTACCCTCTTATCCCATTTTGCTGACAAGGAGCCTGAGGGCCCAAGCGTGACTGCCATGAGTTAGCAGCACAGCCATTGCCAACCCAGGGCCCTGACTCCTACCTGACCCCCTTCTGAATGACACTCAAGGCAACGGTCCCCTTCCCACTCACAGGTGACGTGAAACCTTTCACCTTGAAAAGCCTCTTGCCCCAGCCTCCCCTTGAGCCCACACTAGGACGCGGCTTAAGTATCTCCAGCCCATGGAGTTGAACACTCTCCTTGTTTCTGGAAGGATCCAGTCTGTGTGCTCCTCAGGCAGTGCAGGGGCAGGGAGGGGATGGCCAGCACGGGGTGGCCGCTAACAATCTCCTCTCCTATCCCCACTGCAGGCTGCGGGAACACCACCGGGCCACCATTAAGGTCATTCGGCGCATGCAGTACTTTGTGGCCAAGAAGAAATTCCAGGTGAGCCCTGTGCTGAGCCCTCTAGCCCTCAGCCTGCCCCTGCAGTCTGCTGCAGCTGCCCACACCCCTCCTGGCTTCTCTCCTGCCCACAGTGGAGGCTGTTAAGGCCTCTGCCCCCAGCCACACAGGCAGGCCTATCTGAGACCTCACAGCGCCCACCCCGCCAGACCCCAGACGGCAGGCCCCTCAAAAGACACATCCTCAGAGACCCCACCTGGAACTAGGGACACAGGCAGCATTTTCTCCGCTAAGTAGAAAGGCAGCGGCCATGCGGCTCACTCAGTCCTCCCGTGGGGTGGGTCGTGCAGGCAGCATTAGTGAGAGTCGTGAGGGTGACATCAGAATGACTCAGAGGTGGTGCAGAGCCTGCCCTGAGTCACCGAGACAGAAGGTAGGTCCCCCAGACCCCCAGCCCTGTCCTATAGTGGCTCAGCACTCTCGTTCCCTGCTCCCCTACCCTCTGGGTTGGGAGGATAGAGGCAGGCTGGATCCTGCTCCATTAGAGGTGGGGTGCCCTTGGCCGGGTGAGACTGGAGCTTTGGGGGGGCTTCCATGAGCTGCCCAAACTCCTCCAGGGGCAGGACCTCTACAGCCGCCCCTTGGGCCCCCCAGAGTTTATGGCCCGCAGAGAACGCCATTGACAGCAGGCAGGTCTCCCCTCCTCCTGCCCTGGGGACATTCCTCGGATGGAGGCGGTGGGTGGGGGACTGAGTCCTGGCTTGGAAATGTGTGTGTAGGCGTGGGAACCGCGTGTAGATCACAAAGCTGGGAAGGCTGGGGGGTAACTTGCCGGAGTCCCTCAGAGCAGAGAGCGTGTGACATGCTTGAGTGAGTGCATGTCTGCAGGAGCAGGGCTGGGTGGGGCCCCTGAGCAGGGAGCTCCCGGCACCTTCAGCCACAGCCTCACCAGGTACAGTATACAGCCCAAGAAGGTTCAGCAATGCCCGCTGACCACCAGGACCCACAGCCCGGTGGCATCCCAGCCCACTAAGACTTATCCTGGAGCCACCAAGCTCCCTGCCAGGGTCTGGTTAGGGCTCATGGGGGCCTTTGTCAAGTCGTCATGTGGGGTTGGGCTGGAAAGATCATCCTGACTTCAGGAGCCTGAGATGAGTGGAGATAACGCAGGCCCGTCCAGACGGACTGACGGTGGAGTTCAAATCTGGTCCCCTGTCGTCATGCCTTCCATGCCAGGCTCCAGGATCGACAAAGGCCTGCCCACAGTCTCCTTGGTGGAGCCTCCACCCACCCTGGTCCTGGAGCTGCTGCAGCCTCCAGGCTCTGCAGGGCGGTCTGGGTGTAGACCCTGGCCCAGGCAGCCCTGGGCAAGTTCTTCCCCGGCTATGATGGGAACGAGAGCCTCAGGGTTTGGCACAAGATCGCGTGCACGTGCCTCACCCAGGACTCGCCCACAGCAACGCTGGGCCAGCACCCACCAGGCCCCCCATCACTCTGAGCCCCAAGAACAGCCCTTGGCCAGGCCCTTGCCGAGAGCAGGGTACAGCCCCTCATCCTGGCCACCGGCCACCACCTCCAGGGGGGTTTTGCACGCACAGCCCTCCCATGGTGGTGTTTCTCAGCTGGTCCTCCTGCCCGCATCCGCCCAGGAGAGCAGGGGGTTCATGACTTAACTGAACCAAGTTATGTCAAAACTCCCAGCAGGGACTGGGACCTCTTGCAGTCGAAATAAAAGTCATGATAAATGCCAGGGCTGGCCAGCGCCTGGAGATCTGTCTGGCATGTTCTCAGGGAGATCTGACAGCCCCTGTGGACCAAGGTGTCTCCATTCTGGGACCGTCTTCTCTCACTGGTACTGGCATAGAGGGCCTTGCTGGAGCAGGGAGCTCACTCGGGGGCAGTGGGAGAGAGGGGCCGGCCTCCTGGCAGCACCAGTGCTCTCCCCAGGCAGGGAAGGGGCTGCAGGAACCCCCCGTGGGCCTCAGGTCTGGGCAGGGCAGTCCCCCGAGGGCAGATGAGACCATGGGAAGGGCCAGGATGTGTCAGCTCACCAGAGAACAGCATGGTCGTGACAGCCGAAGCAGTTGACGTCACCCCAGCAGTAGAACCGAGGGTCACAGGGAGCCTCCCAGGGTGCGGCTGGTGCCCGGCCTGAGGGTGCACAGCAGTCCCAGCAGGGAAGAGCCAGAGCCCACCAAGGCTTGCAGAACTGAACCAGGTGGGCATCCTGGGGGCTGCTTCCAAAGTCTGAGGGCACCCAGCAGAACGTGCAGACCCTTGTGGACCTGGGCAGGCCCGGCTCCAGGGGTGGTATGGGCAGCTTCCAGCTTAGGTCAAGAGATCATCCAGCCATCCATTTCTCCATCAGCCAGGAAGGACACTGGCATGGAGGCTGGGATCGAGGATTTCCTATCGTGATAATAACCACCGTGGCTTCCAGTCTCGTGGCCACCTGGCCACTCGTCTGCAATTTCATGTCGTTGGAGCATTCCTTGTATACCTGGGATTCCAGCTCTCTCTAAGTTTGATGTGGCTGAACCAAGAAAAAAGGCACATGATTTCTACAGATATTATGATGCCATAAAAGAGTTTGAGGAGATGAGAAAGGCTGATGTTTTTCAGAGTGAGAGTGATTTTGGAATATAAAGGATTTCTTTGGGTTGAATTACCTAAATGCTTGTCAGTGACCTGTGTTCCTGAACTGTGAAACATGAACATGTCGGCCAAGAAATCATTTCTCTTGGTAAATAAACAATTAACAAACACACAAAAAAGAGAGAGGGACAGAGAGAGAGGGAGAGAAAGAGAAAGAGAGAGAGAGATCATCCGTGCCAGCCCCTGTGGGCTCTGCCACTGAGCCACAGGCGAAAAAGCTGGTCCCTGGGAAGGAACACGCTGAGCCCCGCACTGCCTTCCAGGCGGGGGTCCCCTTTCCTGCCTTAGGACACAGGCCAGGGCCCTGAGAATGGCCCAGGAGGCTTTTGCAGTAGATTGGGAAACCCCACCTCACTCTCTGCTTCTCCCCTGCGCCCGGCCCTGGGAGCCTTGCAGAAACCTGGCAGCAGCAGGACCCTTGCAGGGCACAGAGGCTCCTGCACAAAGCTGCTGGGGCTCCCTCCGACCTCACCAGCTGGCTCTTTTTGCTGAGGGCAGCATGAGGGGTGGGGCCAGGGCGAAGGGAGCAGTAGCCTTTGGCAGTGAGGAGCTGTGTGCAGCTCCAGGGGCTCCCCAAGCCCAGCGCACAGGCTGTTTCCCTTCCTCCACGCCAGCCTGTCTGCTTGCTTTCACCCCACCCCACCCCACCCCCGCTGGCCTCAGGGGCTGCTGATGTGGCGGGTTGACCCCCCTGCCTGCCTTGCTGGCCGATAAGTCCCTGGCCAGCCACCCTTGTGTCTGGCCCGAGGAGCCAGAGCCTCCGAGCCCTTCAAGTTTGCCTCGAACTGCCCATCCACCGTCAGTCTGGACGGGCCTGCATTATCTCAGCTCATCCCAGCCTCCTGAAGTCGAGCTGCTTTCTAGCCCAACACCAGACAACCACTTGACAAAGGCCCCCATGAGCCCTAACCAGATCCTAGCAGAGATCTTGGTGGATCCAGGATGAGTCTTGGTGGGCTGGGATGCCACCAGGCCATGGGTCCTGGTGGTCGACGGGCATCGCTGAGCCTTCTTGGGCTGTGCCCTCCACCAGGTAAGTCTGTGGCTAAAAGTATGGGAAGCTCTCTGCTCACAGGCCCCACCCAGCCCTGAGCCTGCAGACGTGCGCACACTCAGGCACATAATATCTCTCCCCAACAACAGGCCTGTTTGAAAGCATTTGCGTCTGCAGAGGCTGCTATCACACACACCTGCCCCTACCTGGTCACAGTGGCCCAGGGACTCCCAGGCCTTGGTTTTCTGCTGCCCTGCCTCCCTTCACCTGCCCATACCTCACCAGCATGCCTGGAGCAGTGCCTCACGCTTCAGCTTCACAGAGCCCTGTGGCTGCAGAGGTTCACCACCACGACTCACGCCACGTTCAGTGAGTGCTGAAGAGAGGCTCGGCCAGAGCTGGCTCTGACTCTGGCTCTGGCATGGTGCTAGCTTAGGATTCCCTGACCTTTCTCAACTCCCATCCTGTGTCATCCTCACTCCCTCCCTTAAGGCAGAGCAAGGCAGGGCTCAGCATCCCATCTTACAGAGGGAGCTTAGAAAATCCATCATACAGAAGGGAGAAACAGAGCTCAGCAATCCATCTTACAGAAAGGAGAATCAAGGCTCAGCAATCATCTTACAGAAGAGAGAGACAGGGCTCAGCACCCATCTTATAGAAAGGAGGATCAAGGCTCAGCATTCATCTTACAGAAGAGAGAGGCAGGGCTCAGCATCCCATCTTATAGAAAGGAGGATCAAGGCTCAGCACTCATCTTACAGAAGAGAGTCAGGACTCAGCATCTCATCTTACAGAAAAAAGGATCAAGGCTCAGCACCCCATCTTACAGAAGAGAGTGACAGGGCTCAGCATCCCATCTTACAGAAAGGAGGATCAAGGCTCAGCATCTCAACTTATAGAAGAAAGGGACAGGGTTCAGCATCACATCTTACAGAAGGGAGGATCAAGATTCAGCATCCTCTTACAGAAGGGAGCTCAGCATCTCCATCTTATAGGAGGGATAAACAGGGTTTGGCATCCCATTTTACAGAAGAGAGAGATGGGGCTCAGCATCTCATCTTACAGAAAGGAGGATCAAGGCTCAGTATCCTATCTTACAGATTAGAAAGACAGGGTTCACCATCTCATCTTACAGAAAAAAGGATCAAGGCTCAGCATCCCATCTTACAGAAGGGAAGATCAAGACTCAGCATCCTATCTTAAAGAAGGGAGCTCAGCATCTCCATCTTATAGGAAGGAGAAACAGAACTCAGCATCCTATTTTACAGAAAAGAGAGACAGGGCTCAGCATCCCATCTTATAGAAGAGAGAGACAAGGCTCAGCACCCCAACTTATAGAGAAGAGGATCAAGGCTGTGCATCCCATTTTATAGAATGGAGCTCAGCATCCCCATCTTATAGGAAGGAGAAACAGGGCTCAGCATCCCATTTTACAGAAGAGAGAAACAGAGCTCAGTATTTTACCTTACAGAAGAGAGAAGAAGGACTGAGGACATGATCACTAGCCTGTACATAAGTACCATTTTTATGGCTGTTATCAAATGGAGCGCATGGCAGGCCAGATGATCTGCCTAGAGTCAGACCCCATGCCTGACCCTACCACAGGTCTTGGTATGTCATTTCTGGGCAATGCCATAATCTTGGTGCCCAGTGTGGCCGCAGGAGCAGCAGGTCCTTCTTTCCATTGGGCACAACTGCTTTGTGAGGACACGGGCCCCCTCCCAGTCCCCCTGATCTCAGAGTCTCTGCTTCAGGACCCAGACAGTGGCTAGTGTTGCCAGTGAGGACCCTCCTGCTGGTGTCAGGTGGAACAGAAACCCCCTAAACTTCGGAGGCCCAGTCTCCGAAGGGAGGGAGGAGGTCTCTGCCCTGCCTTGGGATTCCTGGGGTCCAAAACAATGTTAGGTGTGTTGTAAGAACTCCAAGCCTCCGGCATTGGTGGCAGAACCCCTGAGCAAGTCAGAAGTGTGTCTAGAGCTGAAAGTGGGTATGTGGAGACCTGACTTCAGGGGCTCCCCATCTGGGAACTTGCAATTTGCCAAGGCTGCATCCCAGGCTAAGGTCACCCTGATCTCAGGAGTAGGACCCCAAAGAGAGGTGGCAGGTGGGCAGGGAGGGCATGTTCCCAGGCCCAGCCTGGGCCCTCAACAGCACCTGAGCTTCCTCCTCTCCCATCCTCGGCCTCTGTTGCCTCCCTCTGACTTGGGCTGGCCCTGCTCTGCCCTTCCCCACCAAGCTGCTTGGCTTGTCTCTTGGGCCTTGCAAATTCCCCGGCAAAAGGCAGGAAAACCCCTAGCCCAGTGCTAAGGTGGCTATCTGAGCACTGGTGGTGACTGCTCTGGCCCCCACCCAGTCACCCAGCGGCCCCTCGGGATAGAGGCAGTCTCTCATCCTGCGTGCTGGCTTGCCTGTAGGGCCAAGGCCTTCCTAGGCCATCAAACCCCCACTCAGCCTGGCTGCTCCACCTGGGTGAGGCCCTTGGGAGCAAGGCCACAAATGCGGCTTGGGGTTTGCTGATATCATGAGACGCTTTGCTTTCTGTTGTGGTTTCAAGATGTTACCTGAGTCCCATTTATTGTCCAGAGCTGTCGCCAAGCCTGGGAGCCCTGGGGTCACCTGTCTTGCCTCACGTGGCCCCAGCCCCGCTATGGGAGCCCAAGCAGATGTTTGTCACTGGCAGGCAGCAAGTACTGCAGGCTGAGGTTGTCGTCTGGGGCCACCCCTGCTGCCTGGCATAAGCTGGCAGGAAGGATACAGAGTGGACCCACTCCCTGCCCTGAGGACAGCGGGGGCTGCAGCCAGTGGGCATGTCAAGGATCAATCTGGGGCCCCGGTGGGTGATGGCCATGCAGAGCTGTGCCTCCTGGTCAGTGCCTGGCACAGTGCTGCTCCTCAGCCCCTTGGCTGGGCCAGCTCTTCCTGAAGCCATTGAGAACCAGGACTGGCAGCCTGGGGAGGGGAGTAAGCAGGCCGCAGCTGGTGAGTGGGCAGGAAGCTAGGGCACAGAGAGGCCAAGCTGATGGCCCAGGGCCACCCACGGCCCCGTGGCCAAGCTGATGGGGACAAGCCCCCCGCTGTACATGCTTGGGACCAGGCCTACGTCATCACCACACAGTCAAGCTCCCAGGTCTTCACAAGCCTCCTGAGGGCAGACACTGTCACCACCTGCACTTAGAGCCACACAGCTGGGGCACAGGGAGGGGAAGTGACGCATGTCTTTCTGTCCCGCAGCAAGCTCGGAAGCCTTACGACGTGCGGGACGTCATAGAGCAGTACTCGCAGGGCCACCTGAACCTCATGGTGCGCATCAAAGAGCTGCAGAGGAGGTAGGCACGGCCGAGAGGCAGCGGGGAGGGTGCCCGGCTCCTGCCCAGCCCAGCCCCAGCCACACAATAAGCAGTGCCAGGAGGAGGGAAGGGCGGAGACCTGAGTTCTCACCTCTCAACCACCCCCTTCTCCTGACCACCTCCTCCACCCCTGGGGACCCTGACTGTGGGGAGCCAACGTGTTCCCCTGGAATCAGCACCGTCCTCCCGGGCCTGCGCAGGCTGGGAGAAGCCGTGCCTCTGCCACGGCCTTGCCTGGGAACTAGTTCCATGTGTTACAGGGTGTGGCTGGGAGCCCGTGACCATTCTGGCCACAGGTGGGGAGTCAGGCTGCCTTGCCCATGGCTGACACACTTCCTCCCCAGGGAGGCAGTCTGAGGGGCGGCCCACTGACTCCTCCCCTCTGGGCTCCCTGCTCAGCCCCCTCAGGAGCATGGCCCTCTGGAGGGTTGGGAGTTGCCTGGCAGGTCTTAGAGTCAGGGTGTCCCCAGAGTGGGTGGGCAGTGCACTGTCTTGCCAGGCATATCAACCTGTCTGTCCCCTGGATGGCTGGGCATCTGTGCAGTGCTGGGGCCAGGTATGAACCGGCGTCCTTCTCCTTCCCTCCCTCCCAGGCTGGACCAGTCCATCGGGAAGCCATCGCTGTTCATCGCCGTCTCAGGTGGGTTTCTGCATCAGTTGCTCTGCGCCCCGTGGCCCACACCTCTACCCTCCTGGCCCCCCTACGATGTCAGAATGGGCCATTGGGGCTCCAAGTGCATGACACGAAATGAAAGCCAGGGAGTAAGGGGAGGTAGACCCCACCCTTAGCAGAGTGGCTCCAAAGTACGTTTTACAAGGGAATTTTCAGGTTGCATAAGAACCTACCTGGGTGCCTTTAAATTCCAGGGCGTTGAGGTTAGGCTCTGGGTGTGGAAACATGAACCCAGGGCAGCATTGCAGAAGGGGGTGATCCTGGGGATGGGCCTGGGGTGGGGTTTGTGTGGGGTGAGCTGCCAGCTTGGAATTCAAGAGACTCTGGGTGGGGGCTCTGCAGGGCTCAAGTTGAGAGGGACAGAAGCGCCTAGTGGCAGCCTGGGGGCCGGTTTTCTGGCCCCTCGGCCAAATTCCTTAGATCCCCTGGACACCGGGCTGTGAGTCATGCCGGGAAATGACAGGGAAAAGGCATACTCCTTGGGGTTTCCCTAGCCCAAATTTAAACAGAACCCGTGGCTCACAGTATGGGCTGGCATGGAGGGGGCAGGTGGAATGGCTGTGTCCTCCAGCCTTGAGTCAGGCCTGTGGTACCCTGGGAATGAGTGTGATGGCTTCCACAGCCAGCAGTGTGGCCAGCGGAGGCATCCCCTGGGGCTCTCAGAGGTCAGAAGTGGAGAAGGTGGAGCAGGATGGAGCCTAGGTCCCCAGCTGCAGCCATGCCGCCCCACTGAACCACCCTTGGTATTTTTGTCATAGGACACTTTTTAAAAATGTCCTAGTAGGTTTAAGCATTGTGACTCTCAGCTACCTCCCCCAGCCCCACCACCCTGCTCCCCAAGCCCACCCCAGCACTCCGCCCTGATTTGGGTGTTTTACCCCCATAGAAAAGAGCAAGGATCGTGGCAGCAACACAATTGGCGCCCGCCTGAACCGGGTAGAAGACAAGGTAGGCTCACGCGCCAGCCCGCAGCAGCTCTGAGCAGCGTCCTGAGCCCAGCAGGCACCTCCCTGCATCTGCATGCGGACGCAAAGCTCCAGTGGTGCCCGGGGTCTGCAGGCCTTGCCACCTTCCTGCCAGTGCTCACTGCAGCCCACCCAGCAGCTCCCAAGAGGGCCCCAGGCCCACTGACCACCAGGCTGGGCATTGGTCCCCATGGAAGGAGTCAGGCCAGGCTGGTTTCTCGTCCTCTGACAAGTGGCGTCTTTACTAGCAGGTGGCACTCAGTGCCCCTCCCCCAGCCCTTTCCCACTGCCTCTCGTAGTCTGCTTTGTGCCCTGCGAGCCTCCTGGCTGTGTCCTGAGTGAAGGGTGGCAGGAACTGGCCTCACATCCCTGCCTTCTCCTGGGCCCAGCTGTCTGGGGCCTCCACTTGGGGCCAGCCAAGGGCTCAGGGAGACGCAGGGCCCAGTTGGGATGGGTTCCTGGGAAGAGAGGCATGTTCTGTTCACCCCAAACCCACCAGGCCCCCAATCCCCGCCAGGCTCTGTGCCTGCCCCGCGGTCCCTCAGGCCAGAGCCTGTCCCCGGGCACCCTGGGAGCCGCCGGTGGATCTGGGCAAAGGGAGGGCCTTTCTCGGGCCCATGGCTGAGCCCACCACTGCCCTTTGAAGTCTCTGTGGTTTGAAGCGGGCTGTTATCTTGCTGAACAGCTCGCCCGTCTACATGGACTTTATCTGAAAGTAGCTGAGAGGCTAAAAATAGAGGAATTTCAGTTGGGCAGGGAGTGCGTCTGCCGCCCGGTTTCCCCGGCAACGCCTGGCTCTGGCCTGCTTCCATCTCGGCTGCAGCCGGGCAGGCGGGGCAGGCACAGCCCAGCCCGGGCTCCCGCGCCTGCCCCACCCGTCCTGGCCCCCAGGACCTGCAGCGTCACCCTCTCCCCACCTGGCACCATCTGCCCATGGCCTGGGGCGGCCATGGGGCCCTAAGACCAGCAAACTGGGTCAGGCAGAAACAGCGGGGCTGCTGTTCAGGTGCCTGGGCCTGTGGGGCTGTGTGACTGTGACACCCTGATCCCGTGGGCCTGGCCTCCCTCTGTCGGCACAGGCCGAGGCAGGGCTGGTGCGGGCCTTTGCCAGGCAGATGGCCCAGTGGGAGATGGCACCCATCTGGCAGGACAGGAAGCGAGACCCGGGAGAGGTCAGTTCACAGGGCGGGCAAGCTCGGAGGCCCAGGAGCTGTGGCCTGTCTGCTGCCTGGGGAACGAGGTGTTTCCTTGGGTTTGTCTGTGCGCAAGGGCCCAGTGACTCCTGGCTGGCACACCCAGTACGGCAGAGCCGGGTACCCTGTGTTGTTGGCACGGCCAGGAGTTTCTAGACATCAAGGAAAGCCATGGTAGAGCCAGGGAGCGGCACTGAGTCCCCACCTCACTCCTCCTCCAGCCTGTGGACATCCCTGTCATGAGGGGTCCTGGTGGCCCTTTCCGGACAGCATGGGCAGGGGGCAGCCCCTGCCTTTCTCCACCACTTCCATCCCCTGCACTGCTGTCCCAGGCCTTTCTTATGGCTCTGCCCCTGCTCCATGGGTCAGGCCACCCTTTAAGCCCAGACCTAGAGCCTGGCATCCTGTGGGGGTGATGGTGGGTGGCAGACAGCACCTCCTGAAGCGCGGCGGCCCCTTCCGACGTGCACAGCTGCTGTCCAGCAGTCTGCTGGACCTGGGAACAAGGACGCGGTCCTCGGTCAGCCAACGTTGGTGCAGGGGCCTGCAGTGGGGCCAGTGCTGGCCTTGAAGGCACAGAATTATGCACCCAGATTTCTTCACATCTGAGCAAAGGGAAGCGTTTTCCGAGTCCCTGATCCCTAGGGCAAAGTTTAAGAACAAGGCTGGGGACATGTCCTGGTGCCCTGTCAGGCCTTGAGCCCGGGCCACGAGGATTCTGTTAGATTCTGCAGGCACAGCCCTGGTGGTCCCTGGCTCCCTGCTGTGACATTGGAGTCCCCTGTCTGGGGTCTCTGAGGTGGGGAGCGGCACCCACAGTCCACACTGAATCTCAGCCCCTCCGAGGGGTCTGCCTGGAGCCCAGCTGCCCATCAGGGAGCTGACCGAGCTGTGCTGACCTGAGCTACCCAGTCCCGGCCCTGCCACTGACTGGTAACCCCCTCAGGGACAGACCCTGGGAAAGGGCCTGGCTGGGCCTGGAGGGCTTGGTGGCACAGCCTGGCTCGAGTTATCTCTGTTATCAGTGCAGCCATCAGGACCGTAAACACCCAAGCGCAATCCTGCTGACTTCGGGAAGTAGGGGCAGGAAATCCAGCAGCCGCCCGGCCCTTGGAGGCCCAGCAGGCGTGCAGCATGCGGTGCCAATGCCCGCCAGCCCCGCCAACCCCAGCCGGAGCCCCTGGTCTTCCCCACCGGCACCCTCCCCCACCCCATCCCGCCGGTCTGGCTGCCTGCTGGAAGGGAGTCAAGGCCCCAGCCCCCAACTGCTTTCTCAGCTCAGCTCAGCCCCTCAGCTGGGCTGTGCAGTGAGTCCCATCCCAGGCTGGCTCGCCTAGCCGTGAAACGAGAGGCCCAGCGAGGAGGGGAAGGGGCCTCTGGGTTGCGCAGCCAGCTGACAACCCTCTCGGAAGGGGTCATGTGAAGGAGCAGGGAGGCCTGGAGTGTCCCTTTGCAGGGAGTTCGCCAGTGCAGGCCAGCTGAGCTCGTTCAGGGCTGCCTCCGTTTCCCTGGCAGGGAGCCCCTTCTTCCTTTGTGTCCTGGCCAGGGGCCCGCATTGGGGAGAGGGGGCTGGGGGACTCCTTCTCGCCACCCTCCTGCGGCCTCGTCAAAACTCTCCCTTGACAGTGCAGCGTCTCTGCTCCGACACAGAGCCCCCACCCATCTTGCAGGACGCCCTCATTCCTGGGATCACTTCCACCCCTGTGCGTGGCCTGGCGGCTCAGGCTCTGCCTCACTCCAGGGTGTGGAGAGCAGAAACCCACCCACACCCACAGACCCAGGGGCCTCCTTACAGCAAGTCCACTTCCTGCTAGCCTCCCTCCCTCGTCAGATGAGAGGGTTTGACTCTGCTTGTGTGCTTAGGATCAAAAGTCACAAAAGCTGCCTCATGCCCCTTCTGTTTTCATCTTAGATTATTATCTTCTTTATTCTGGAGACTACTCCTTATTTGCCCAAATGCCCAAATAAATCCTCTTTTATAGATGGGGAAACCAAGGCTCAGAGAGGCTGAGCAGTCGCCTGAGGTCACACAGCTGGTTAGGTAAAGAGAAATGAAATTACACATTTCATCCCAAGAACGACATAGACGGGCGTGAGAGATGACGTGGAGAGAACAGGAGGGGTTTCATCATCACCCGCAGCTCATATGAAGGGCTGAGGAAGGCTGAGGCTAGGGGCAGGCAGGGGCACCAGCAGCAGGGCCCAGGGCCTTCGGTGTGGGCCAGGAGCCAATGTAGGCAGTCAGGAGGGGTCTGGAGAGGGCTGGCCCTGCCCACTCCCCGTCTGGCCTCACTGGGCTTCCTGGAGTCCCACGCAAGGCTGGCAATCAGTGTGGGGGCTGCGTACCCTGGACGCTGAGGAATTGATGGCAGAGGCCACTCTAGTCTTCCTCCCCAGCCTGTATTCTTAGCTTGGTCCCCAGGACCTGCTGCACTGTTTACGTTGGGCCCTGTTTATTTTGCAAGCTAACTTCATACTGCTTTTGCTGATATGAGGAGCACAGTGGGCTGGGAGGGTTTCTTTCTTCTCTGTTTTTGCCGGAAATGTTCATGGCTGAGAGCCGGACACAGGGGAGTCCTGGGTTTCCATGCCCCAGTTCAGAGGGCATTGGGCGGGAAGGGGCCCCCACCACCTGATACCCCTTTCACTGCCTCCGGTCCCAGAAGCCAGACCTCCAGGGTAAAAATGCCCCCAACCCAAGACTCCCACAACCACACCCCAACCGTGCCTTTACCAAGCTGCGTGCTTGACCCCAACCTCCAGGATGCAGGCAGGCCCAGCCTCCCAGAATTGGGTGTTTGCCGCTAGACACTGCTACCCTTTTCCTCATTACAGTGTGACTCCTCCATCCACCAGGCCCACAAGCTGGACCCCAAGGCTTTTTTGTCCTGATCAGTTCTCTGAGCTGTGCCCCCGGGGCCACCTCGCTGCCGTTCATCCCCACCCTTCAGCCCAACCCCTGCTGAATTTGGGCCTTTATCATCTCTTACTTGGATTATTTTTCCAGCCATATATGCGGTCTCCAGCCTCTCCCCACGCACACCAATCTTTCACATTGTATATTATTTCTTAAACACTGCTGAAATCTCACTTACTGATATTTAATATATCAGAAATTTTGTGCCACTATTTATGTGTGAGATAGATACAGAATTTTCCTTTCTTGTAAGGTCTTCATCAGGTTTTGGTATCAAATGTATGTGAGCCTCACAGACTAAGTTAAGAAGTGTTCCCTCTTTTCCTATATTGAGATATTTTGTATAAGATTAGAATTTTGTTCTCCTCAAATGTTTGATGGAATTTGAAGGTAAAGACATCTAGGCCTGGTGTTTTCTTTGTGGGAAGATTCATCATTCCGGGTTCAATGGCTCTAATAAATTATGGACTGTTCAGGTTTTCTATTTCTTCCTGTATCAGTTTTGACAAGCCATATATTCCAGGAATTTATACATTTCATCTTGTTTTCCATGTTTGTTGACATTTATTATTATTTTCATGTCTGTCACGTTAGCATTTAGTCCCATTTTTTATTCTCAATATTATTTATTTGTGCCTTCACCGTTTTCCCTCTTAGTGGTCAAACCTGCCACTATTCACCCATCTTATTAATATTTTTAGCAGACTTCTGCCTTTGCTGATCCTCTGTATTGTGATTTTGTTTCTGTTTCATTCGCTTCTCATTTTCTTCCTTCTATTTACTTGGCCTTAATATACTGTTTTTTCTCTAACCCCTCTAAATTAAGAATAGGATAATTCTTAATTTTCAGGCTTTCTAAATTTCTCTTTCTTT